CCCGCACCCCCGCCCGGGCCGGCCGCGTCCTGCCCGCTCGACTCGGGCCACCGCAGCGCGGGGGGCGGCGACCCGGAGCGACGTGGATCGGGGCCCGGACCAGCGCAGAGACCTCCAAAGAGTCAGGATTTTCGGAACTGCGTTTCGGACGGGTTGGAGAGATGGACTGGTGGTGAGGGGCGCCAAGACCTTGAGACACAGCGCCCGAGAGAGACGAGCCTCGGCAGAGACACCCAGAGGGGGAGAGAAGGACATTCAGAGCCCACTGGAGACCCAGAGCCTGGTGACAGAACCAGAGGAAGGACGCCAGAGGCTCCCAGAAGCCTAGCAGAAAGTCACTCAAGGATCAGAGGCAGAGACAGACCTCTCCATCCGTCCCCCTGCCCCGCCCCCAGCTGCGGTGGTTCTGGGTCCTTTCCAGGTCTGAAAGGAGAAGAGCTTCTGTGCCTGTCACTACTGGAACAGGTCGAACACGTGCAGTCCGCCCTCAGGGACTTCAGGCCAGCGGGGTTCCTGGGCCTGGGGGGCGAAGGGGGTGCTGGCCTGAGCTGCTCTTCTTCCTCTCCGCGCACCTAGCCGGCAGGCATTGCAGGACACAGGCCTCCCGGGGCTGGGGTGACCTGGGCTGTGGCTCCTGCCCAGTGCCAGTAGGGAATCCACAGTTCAGCTCCCCCAAAGTCATTTGTGGTGGTGCCTGGGAGACAGGTTTCCCCAAGGGAGGCTGAGGAGTAAATAGGCCTCTCCCTGGTTCGGGACTGAGCCAGCGCTGCGGCTAGAAACAGTGTAGAAAGTGTCTGACCAGACTTGCGAAGCACACACTGTCCCCCAGATCCAGCTGCCTGGCTCCACACTGTTGGATCGGCGAGGAATAGCTGTTCCTCAGAGAAATGTGCAACTTGCTGACAGTTGCCTTCCTCACAGGAGCTGGGAAGGGCCAGTATCCAGCCACTGTCCATAGCCAGGTGCCACCCATCCTGCCCACTCCACCTGGTACCTCAGGTAACTCCATCCCCCAGCTAGTCGTGGCTCCTCACTCCTGGCTTTCATTAGCTCCCTAATGAAAATCAAGCACACATAGGGCTACAAGGGGCTTCAGTAGACTTTTCATCTAGCTCCCACTCCAGGGCTGTGACTCTGCCCATGGAATCTCTGTGAAGCACCCTTCTTGCTCCCTGTTGAGCATAAGGACAGTTGCCTTAGTACCTCAAGCAACAACTCTTCCACCTTTGGACAGAACTTGCCCAAAGAATGTTGGGCTTCCATATTGGAGCTGAAATTTGCATCCTGTATGATGCCCTCGCATTCCAGTCAGCTTTCTGATTCCACAACAAAGGCTTCGCAAAGCTCTCTCTGGCAAACCTCCTAGGGTGGCTTCATCTAGGCTGACCAAGCATTCTGGCTTGACCAGGACTTCCCTAGTTTTAGCTCTGAAAGTCTCATCTCCCAGGAAGCCCCTTCAACCTAGGAGCTCTGGAGCTCAGAGCCAGGCAAGCAAATCATAGGTGACAAAGACCAGGAATGGACCCCTGAATCCCTTCCCACTCCTGGCCTAGGGTTGAGGACAGGAACAACAGTGAATACCTTTTGGCCAGGCAGTATACTCACCATTTTGTTTGTAGCCTATTATTTAACCCACATGTGCTCTCTGAGGTACCTCATGTCATCCCCTGTTTACGCAGGAGGAGAGAGAGACTGAGAAAGTTGGGTGCAGGGGCTCATGCAGGATTGCACTCAGGGCTGTTCTCTGTCCCCTGTGCCACACTGTCCTCACCCCTCCTTGTCACTGGGGGAATTTCAGAGGCCAGTCTGCTGGTGTGTGAGTGGGTACAGTGGAAAACATTGAAAAAGAAGCAATAAGCAGGCCACAAATGGGACAGACCTGGGCCTGAGCACTTCCCCTGCACTAGGCTCAGAGTAGCAACAGTGACCCTGGCTATCAGGGGCCCTGGCCTGGTACAGTCTTGGGTTAGGGGGCATTCACACACATGTAGGCCCAGGCAAGCACATCCTACTTGAAGATAATGCTCCATGGGTAGACATTGAGATCACTTCCGCCACCATAAGCCCTAACCTGCTTACTTGGGGAGGGAGTAGGCCAGCAGTGACAGGAAGATGTCAAGATTAGGATTTCAGAAATCCTCTTGCTGCTTCACCCTCCATTCTTGTCCCCATTTCTCAGATGGGAAGACAGTGAGCCAGTGTGAGAATGCAGAGTCCTTAGCTCCATTCTTATTTTCTCCTCTCTAAGCTGTCCTAGGGTTGCCCCCGCCATCTGCAGCTGAGCAGGAAGAGGTGGATAAGGAGTCCAGCAGGGAATGTGGGCCTGGCCCCCAGGGCAGCTCCCGAATGCCTGTTAGCAGCTGCCAAGGCAGTTCCAGCCCTGCCTTCAGACAGAGCAAACACATCAGGACTCAAGGCCATTAGATTAACTAGTGGGAGTTAACTTCCTGCATCAGAAGAATCGTCCTTAATTGAAGAAAGGAATAACTAGCAATTTAGAGACGCTGACCTCCACTGCCTAGAGGAAGGAAGAACAGGAGCCAGCCCAGGCTTGCTAGACCATAGGACCAGAGTGACTGTGTCCCAGTTTTAGACCCAACTTTCCTTTGAGACGTGGTATCAAGGTCCTTTTCTCTGAGCACAGTTCATTCTGCTTCTTTCTCCACAGTGGTCAGTTACCCCCAGTCCCAGGAAAATGCTAAACCACAGGGGAATACAGACAGGGCCCTGTCCTGCCAGCTCCCAGCACAGATGTGGACAGATTGGAGAGCTCCAGGCAGAAAGAGAGGGCAAGCTGGGGAGATGAGTCCTCAGTATGACAGACTGCAGACCTGTGTATTGGTCCTCTGCACATGGTGCCCAATTCCTTGGAAAGGTAAGCAATAGTCTGAGAGAGCCAACAGGGTCCCTTGGAAAACCAATTGTGCTGAGCCAAGCTTTTTCTTTTTGGACAAGTTACAGTGACCTGCGGAGTTGGGCATTTCCATTCCCTCCATCCTAGGGCTGAGACACAGCTGCTACTCAACACTGTTAGGGCAACTTTGTGAACAACGCAGGGCGTCTGGGGTAAGATGATGGCCTAGGCATGTGACATATCCCTGTCAACTCCTAGAAGGAAGTCATCAGGAGGGCCCCCACTGGGACTTAGAACACATCATACCTTTGAGCAAAGTTGCTTGTGGCAGAGAAACAGATGCATAAGGATGCAGCCTGTGCAGACTGCAGGAGGAGCCATCTGGCAGATGCCTGGTGGTTCCCAGTGGCCTTGACAAGCTGGGACCGAGGGCCAAGGCCAAGAGAACAAGATAAACATGGACAGGCATGCATGTCCAAGGCCCAGAACAAGCACCCTTTCTCTACCAGCCTTTCTCAAACTCCAGTTGGTGTTCACTCTACTTACCAATTTCCAGGGCTGGGGACAGGGAAATGGCTTAGTAGAATAAGCGCTTGCCTGGCAAGTGCAAGGGCCTGAATTCAATCCCCAGTTCTGAAAAAAAAAAAAAAAAATACAGGGCTACTGTTCTCTTCTGGTCCTGCATCCTCACCTCCACCACATTGTTACCCTTCACATGGACCCCTGGCAGCTCCTTCCCTTCTGGATGAATCATCCAGTTTGGCTCTCGGCCCTTTTCAGTCTCCTCTCCTCTTGTTCCCACACTTCAATTCCTTTGGTGACTGCCCACAGGCCAAGACCAAATTGCACCTCTTTGTAGCATTCCAGGAGAGCTCTAAGAGTAACATGTTTGCTCTCACCCCCAGTGCTGCCCAGCATCTACAACATGGTAGAATCTGCCCTCAGCGCGCACGTGCACGTGTGTGTGTGTGTGTGTGTGTGTGTGTGTGTGTGTGTGTGATACCTCCAGGAAAGGAGCTAGGATCCTGCCTGTCTCCATCCCCTCTGGTGAGGAAGGGGACTGTTCTGTGCAGTGAGTGAACCACCATGGCCTCACCCTCAAGGCAGATGCTCTAAAGGAGGCACTGGGTCACTGAGGTCTCATATGTGGTCTCCTACAGAGGCAAGAAGATTCCCTTAAGATCAACCAGTGGCCGGGGAGATAGCTCAGTAGAATAAGTGCTTGCCTGGTAAGCACAAGGGCCTGAGTTCAATCCTCCGTTCCACCAAAAAAAAAGAGAAAGTATTCCAGGTTGAGGAACTAAGAGGTGTCCAAAAGACTTGGAATCAAATGGAAATTTAAAAAAAAACAAAAAACAAAGATCAACCAATGACCTCTTAGGGGAACCTAGATCTACATGTATAAGGACTCCCACCCAATCTTCCACCCAGTAGACCCAGCCAAATGTTCTACTTCTACGTTAGAGTGCTTTCCCTCTCTGTTTCCACAAGGGTACTCCTTAAAAACTAGACAACATGGGGAGATAGCTCAGTAGAATAAGTGCTTACCAGGCAAGCACAAGGTCCTGAGTTCAATCCCTGGTTCTGCCAAAAACAAACAAAAAAACTAAACAACATGTGTGCATTCTCCATGTTTCCAAAAGATATTTGGAGACCTCCTGCCAAATACATTGAACTGGTCCATGGCAGGCCTTACTTGAGATGCTGAGAGGAATGGAGGCTCAAGTCTGGACTTCACTTGGTCAATTGCTGCTTAGCTTCTTTTGTTTTATCACCCAAGTAGGGTATGCTGGGAAATGGGATTTTGGAGAGAGGGTTTAGTGAGGCCTGGGAGAGTAGCTTTTCCAATAAATGTGACATTGTGATAGGGACAGGATGGGATGTAGCCGGTGCTCTAGGGAGAGGAATGGAAGAGTTTCATGACTGTCCA